ATAATACACACATGTAGTAAGAAGCCAAAATGAACCTACTCTAGGACTAGGAAAATTAAAGTCCATAGATCCAATCTCCATCGGGCTGTAACAGCTGCAGGGGGAAGAGCTGCTGAAAAAGAAAGGAGAATCAGAACAGCTTCAAGTAATTTATTTGTTTAATTCTGAAAACATGTTGGCATAACCCAACATTGTTAAGATAACTACTTGTGTGAAAAGGTGCACAAAGTGAGTACCTGGTCAGGTGAGGGAGGAGGAGTGCCAATCATCCTGGAGACATCAGAACACGGAGGGGTCTGAAACCTGGGAATCTGGAGGGGATGGATTAATGACTAAAAATCCCAGAAAACCCTAACTGGGACAAAGAGGTTTAGGCATCAATGTGAACATGTGAGTAAAGGATAAAAATACCTTCTGTGCTGGTGAAACTGTGGGAGTGGAGGCTTCCAGGTTTATCCTGAATGGTCTCGGTGGTGTAGAAACCTGCACGAGGACCAATGTCATGAACAGGAAGTGTGAAATAGAAAAGCGCAGACTGCAAACAAGTCGTGAAAGGAAAAATACCTTTCCTGCCACCATTTGGGCCCAGGAGGGTGCTTCTTCCACCGGGGATGCAGGCATCGCTGTGGTGGCAGGTGGAGCCGCCTGGTGAGACAAAGAAGAAGGAGTTAGAGTACTTACCTGATCAGGGGATGGCTCAGAGCTGTCAGGTCTGGCCTGCCGTCCCCTGAAACGTCGAGCCCGACGTTCAGCTCTCTGCAATGACAGAAGGGTGTTAAATTATGTAAAATGTGATGAACAGAGTCCAAACGAGTATACAGTAACAATAGAGAAAAACCCGTCATGTGGATAATCTACTAGTTAAATAGATCAAGTGGAAAATGTTTTACAAGTTAAATAGATGAAGTTGAACATGTTTGTCATGAGTTATTTTTAGCAGCAGTATCAGACATTTCCTCTAAAAAATAATTCTTATCAAGGGAAAGAGCAAAGACTAATATTATTGAATATCAAGTCAGATGTTTTTTCCGAACTATCATCACCAACCTTCTCCTTGGGCGCTCCTTCCATCACAGCAGAAGGAGCAGGAACAACAGCTGGTGTCGGTGACACCTGGAAACAAAATCCACTCGCATTAAAACAGGAACATTTCACAGTAACTTCTGACCAAAGTGAGGCTAAAAATTGACCAAAGTCATTCCAGACCTGTGGCTGGGCTCGCCTCCTCTTCAGAGCAGCAGGTCTCCTCCCATGTTCCACAGGCGACGCCTAACGGAGGAAAACACACATTATGTCAGTTTATTTTAGGAAAACCCAAGTATGGATCCATCCTACATCCTCCCAACAATATCAGTCTCAGTTTATTTTAGGAAAACCCAAGTATGGATCCATCCTACATCCTCCCAACAATATCAGTCTGATGGAGTTTATGCTGGACTCACCCGATCGCCTGCAGGAACACGAGCACTGAGGGCAGAGGGAACCAGCTTCTCCATGGCCGTCAGGATCTCAGGAGAGAACCTCTGAGGATTCAGGGGCAGGAAGGACTCCCCTGAGGCCACAGCACCTGCCTCCACCTGTCAGAGGATACACAGAGATTAGACAAAGCTACAGAAA